CTAACATTGTACAAAATTTTTGTGTTCTGTACACAAATGTGCCTACCAATGAGTTCACTGAGAATTATATAAATAAGCAATTGGTGTTTTAAAGGCTTTTAATACAGAAATCCTTGACAGATATTAAACGGATTTTTTAAAATTGGCAGATGAAATTATACATATTTATTGTGTACAACATGCTGTTTTGAAGTACGTATACATTGTGGAATGACTAAGTCTAATTCCAGCCTTTTGGGAGCCAATTGTGACCACAGTTTGAAGAGTTCTGCAGGGATTTTTAAATGTTTGAGTTCTTGGTTGAATTTCTTGGATAAGCTGAAACATATAACCATTTTTTCCATTTAAAATAATGGAACGTAGGATCCTGCAATCCTAAACCTGCTAACACTCCGTCAGGAACAGATTAGACATGGGTAACAAGGGATACCTACGTATGAAAGTGCTTTATAAACTCTACTATGTAAATGTAAACTACTACCACTTTCAGGTGAAATCAGAGAATAATTTCCTGGTTGCTGGAAGAGTCCTCTGGGGACTCGTCTAGTCCAACCTCCCCGTGACTGGATGAGGACACAGACTGAGGCCAGAGGCATGAAGCACAGAATCAGTCAGAGCTAGTGACCAAGTCGAGGACAGCCCAGGGCTCTTTTTCCTCCTCTATGTAATTTTCTCTTTTAAAACACTGACAGTTTTCTGGTGCTGGGAGCAAGATGTCTTTTAAATTAACAGGTGATTTCAGTAAAAGGACTTTTTACCTAGCCCTGAATGTGGCATATTGTAGGAGATGCGGTAGTTGCTGGTGAAACTAGAAATCTGAGGCTGAACTTTTAAAGTTCGTCTTGATCACTCCTCTCTCGTGAAGAAACCCATCGACTTAGAATCACCTCCTGCAAACAATCAAAACAAAAGGTGACTGAACTTCAAAAAACAGCAATGTAAGAACATTCCAAGCATTTGACGTCTAGCACATTTCAGGAATAGGCGTACTGATATGAACGCTAGCATTTAACATTAGAACTAGGTCTGTGACGGTGTTGCTACATCTCTGTCAGCACCGAGAAGGGAGAAATGGATTTTGATCGGCATTTTATAAAAAACTAATCTAGTGGAGATGAGCAGGACCAAGTGAAGGGAGGAGGCCCTGGAGACAGATGGGCAGGTCTGTAGTGGGCTGGGTGGTGTGATCAAGGAGGGAGACGGAGAGGGAGAAAGCGGGAGAGGGAAAAGGGGAGGGGGAGAGAAGGAGAGGGGGAAAGGGGGAGAGAAAATGGGAAGAGGGGAGGGGGAGAGACAGAGAGAAGGAGAGGGAGAAAGGGGGAAGGGGAGAGAGGGAGAAAGGAAGAGGGGGAAGGGGAAGGAGAAAGGGGAAGAGGAGGAGGGAGAGGG